TATTGCCGAGGGCACTATATGCCTAAGACCAACGGAATCCATAGAATCTTAATCCGACAATTAAAAACAAAAAAATAAATTCAGGAGGTGAGGCATTGCTTGCCCCCTACGGCTACGAGCGGTATAAATTTTCAAAACGACGATACACGTGTTTTAAATGTTTCGCCTTTTATTCATCATCGGCTGGATATGCTCCGTTATTATTTTTTGTGTTGCATAGTGTAATCGTTGATTTTTTAATATTTTTTTTGAAAGGACTATCAGAGCAAAAATCGTCGATTTTTATAAATATTTTTCAAAGTTCTAATGGAACTTTAATCATTTATTTTTTGAGAATAATTTTCAGAGGATTATTAGAGCCATCGTGAATGGCTCTTTAGAAATATTTTTCAAAGGGCTAATGATTTCATAATCCTGGATTATTTTCGTATTTTTTTATGGATTATTAGATACTAATTTTCTTCATTAAATAACTTTAACAGTCTAAATTCTGGATTTTTTAGAATATTTTTCAACTTATTTTTTAGAATTTTTCTCCTCCAGGAGAGGATGCTCTATTCCTATCCTTCTTCAAAAAACGACCATGGATTTTTTTGTTAGATAAGGACTCCTAGAAACATAGGCGTGGATTTTTAGGAGTATTTTTAAAGGACTCCTAGTTTTAAAGGACTCCTAGAGATATAGCCGTGGATTTTTAGAGACATTTTTAAGAATCAGGTTTTTAGGAGTATAATTCGTGTTTTTTTTTTTTTTTGAAAAAATATATTGGGGAATTGAAAGGCTATTATTCTGGCAGTTTTTTTTTAATATTTTGTTAAATACAACAAAAACGTGAAATTAAAACATATTTTGCAAAGGGTTATCCAAGCTAAAACCTGAAATAAAAAAAAAATAAAAAAATTGGATTTTTGGACTTTATGGACTATTTTTTAGGACTATCTGCGTTAGAATTTTGTATTTGTAATTCTTGTTTAAAGATAAATCGGAGATATTAAAAATACCTTTCTAAGGACTTTCACACCTATGACCATGGATATTTGTGCATATATTTCGAGTAGGGTTTTTACACCCTCCTTCTATTGGCATTTTCTCCTCTAAACATTCAGCTGTTGCTTGACACAACAATCGCATCCTAAACATCCCCCTAACCTGATTGTGTTCTGCTTCCTTTCATTCCATTCATATTTGTTTTATTCTAAATACGCATTTAAAAATGTTGCTCAACAAATGTTGAGATCAAAATTGATGACGTCATGAGAAAGCTTAAATCCATTCAAACGTTATTCTGTATGCTGGTTAGAAATGAATGAGCGGATGACCCACCCAATAAAGCATTGTTGCGATAAAGCGCAAACACACAAAATGAAATTATGACATCATATGAATGACTTAGTAAATCTTGGCAATTTGAAAAATAAGTACAGCTGACCGCTGAAATGTTAACGGCAGTGGTTGAGGTCTTCTTAAAATCAAATCAAGGGACTTTACATTACGAAGAAATTATTAATCTTATAAATAGGAGAATATATTATAGCCAGTTTTCTTGAGAGTCTTCTAAAGGGTGATTTTTTAGCTATTATCTCTTTGGCAATTAAAAAATTAATCTATTTTGAGTGATTCTGCTCCCACACTAGTTTATCAAACAGAAGAGACTCGGGAGCGCTCCCACACAAAACAAAAAAATAAAGAGTAGACTCCGTAAAAAAATCTCCCACTCTTTGAACAATTCCGCTCGCGAGCAAGTTTCACTCCCGAGTAAAAAATGAGCAAATCTGAGCTATGAGGCACGTTTCGTGCTTTTTTCCACTGTTTTTATACCCTATACCACATAGTGGTAAGGGTATTATGCCTTTGTGCATTTGTTTGTTACATGGAGAAGGAAGCGAGATAGACCCATAGTTACTTTTGAGGATCTTCATAGAATCACTTTCTGAGTCGATTTATGCATGTCGGTCAGTCAGTCTGTCCATGCATTCTTGTGAAAAAAAAAATCAGGTCGCATTTATTATCCGATTGAGATGAAATTTTCCAAACAAAATTTGTTTGGCCCAAGGACGAACCTAATTGAAATTGGTGAGAATCGGTTCAAATTTAGATATAGCTCCCATATATATCTTCAACCGATTTCGGGCAATATCACCAAATGGCCAATATTAGTCCAAATAACCTGGCACATCCGACCGAACAGAAGCAAGTACATCAAGGTTGGGAAAAATCGGTTCAGATATAGCTATAGCTTTTTGGTACCGGGCATCAGATACCGCTCGAAAATACGTATACCAAATTCTATCGAGATAGGTTCAGATTAGGATATAGCTCCCATATATATATCTTTATCCGATATCAGGTTTATTGTGCACCAAATGGCTAATATCAGCCAAAATGGAACATCAACATCAAATTTCAGTTGTGTCCCTTAACCAAATACTCAATTTAGTACCATTTAGTACTATTCGAAAAATTATAGAACACATTTCCGAAACCTCCTCCATATCCAAACCACAGGCACCAACAGTGACATTTGTTTTAAATTTCAGGATTTCGTCTCTATTCTTTCACCCAATACCAAATTTTGTACTTTTCGTACAATTTTAGTACACATTTCCGAACCACCTCCATATCTTAACCACAGACACCAACGGTGGCATCCTTACCGAATTTCAGGATTTCGGCTCTATACCTTCACCCAATATCAAATTTAGTATTTAGTCCTTTTCGTACAACCACAGTCACACATTAACATCAAATTTCTAATTCTATCCCTTCAACCAATACCCAATTTAGTACGTTTCGTACAATTATTGTACACATTTCCGAAACCATCTCTATATGTTCAAACGGCATATGAAGAGCTACCCTTACACCAACATTTCAGATTTCAAGCACTATCTGTTCACCCAATACCAAATTGTACCAAATATACCAAAACCACCTCTTTATCACAAACCAGCCACTAACAGAGACCGCAATACAAAATTTCGGGATTCAAGATTCATTCGTACACCCTAAATTAATATTTTCCAAATTTAGTATAATTTAGTATTTTTCGCGCACTTGTAGAACATATTTCCAAAACCACCTCCTAATTTAAAACCTACCACAAAAGGGACCCAAATACAAAATTTCGGGATTCCAACTTCATCCGTACACCCTATACCCATATGTTCCAAATTTAGTATAATTAAATTTCAAATTTTTCAAGCATCTGTTTACCAACTACCAAATTGTACCAAATGTAGTACTATTTAGTACTTTTCGTGCCCTTGTAGAACATATTTCCAAAACCACCTCTTTATCTAAAATCTACCACAAAAAGGACCCCAATACCAAATTTCGGGATTCCAACTTCATCCGTACACCCTATACCCATATGTTCCAAATTTAGTATAATTAAGTACTTTTCGTACAATTATAGAGCGCATTTCCAAATCCACCTCCAAGCTTCAATCCCAAATACCAACAGAGACCTCTATATCAAATTTGTGGATTCCAGCCCTTTCAGCCAATAAAAAATTAGTACCATTTAGTGCTTTTCGTACAATTATCAAATTTCAATTGTCTGTTCCCCCACTACCAAATTGTACCAAATATAGTAATACTTAGTACTTTTCGTGCACTTGTAAAATATATTTCCAAAACCACCTCTTTATCTAAAACCTATCACAAAAGGGACCCCAATATCAGATTTCGGGACTATCACCTTCATCCGTTCACCCTAAACTTATATGTTCCAAATTTTGTACCATTTAGTACTTTTCGCACAATTATAGTGCACATTTTCAAAGCAACCTCCATTCTCAATCCCAAATACCAACAGAGACCTCAATATCAAATTTGTGGATTCCAGCCCTATCCTTTCACCCATTAAAAAATTTAGTACCATTTTGAACTTTTCGTACAATTACCAAATTTCAAGCATTATCTGTTCACCCACTACCAAATTGTACCAAATGTAGTACTATTAGCACTTTTCGTGCTCTTGTAGAACACATTTCCAGAACCACCTCTTTACCACAAACCTACCACAAAGGGACACAAATACAAAATTCCAGTTTCATCCATTCGCCCTAAACCAATTTTTTTCCAAATTTAGTACCATTTAGTACAGTTCGCACACTTGGTACAGATTTCCAAGCTTGATTCTCATACCAAATTTCAAATTTTTAGCTCTATCCGTTCACATATTGCGAAATGGTTTCATTTTAGAGTTTTTCGTAACCTTAAAGTTCGAAATTCCGAAAAACTCTTTGGAGCATCTATCCTGCATTTCATGACGATTCTCGTTCCAAATTTTATATTTCCTTGTTTCTCATACCAAACTTCAAATTTTTAGCTTTATCCGTTCACATAATACGAAATGTTACCATTTTAGAAGTTTAGTACCATTTTAGAACTTTTTCGTGACCTTATAGTTCGAATTTCCGAAAAACTCTTTGGAGCATATATCCTGTACTTCATTGCGATTCTCCTTTCAAATTTCACATTTCCTTGATTCTCATACCAAATTTCAATTTTTTAGCTCTATCCGTTCACATAATACGAAATTGTGTCGTTTTAGAAGTTTAGTACCATTTTAGAACTTTTCGAATTTCCGAAAACCCCTTTAAGACATCTACCCTGCATTTCATGGCTATTCTCATTCCAAATTCCACATTTCCAGCTAATTTCCTTTGCCCAATACAAAGTATGCAATTTTTAGTACATTCTAGTAGTTTTCGTACTCTTTTAGTACGAATTTCCAAAAACTATCGCCCACACATAATTACTGATCCTCGTGCAAAATTTCAAGATTCTAGCTTCAGCCAGCGCTTCGTTTGGTCGTTGAGTCTCAGTAAGTCACTCAGTTATTTCACTACTCTCTTAATACTACTCTCATAATTTTCTCAGTGTACAACATGTTGTCTCAGTGTGGCTGTGGCTGGCAACATGTTGATAACGAACGTCTGACAACATAACAAGCCAACTTGAAAAACTTCATAATTGCCAAAAGGCCGACACACAAATCAGATAGTTGTTGAACGCTGACGAGAAAGCAAGGCAAAGCGCTGCGTTGATAAAAGTGATTTTGAAAAAATAAATAACGAAGAAAAAAACAATTTTCAATCAAATAAACAACAAATACTTGCGGATTATTCCAAAAGTTTGAGAAAAAAATTAAAAAACGAAAACAAAATAATAAATAAAACAAAATGCAGTTCAACAATCGTGCTATTTTGAAAATTATCGAATTGGTGAGTTCAAATTTCGTTTGTGAGCAAACTGGAAACTTTTTTAAAAAAAAAAAAAAAAAAAACAAATTTGCAAAAAAGTAACGAAATGCAAATTGAATTATTGAAGAAAATATGAAAAAAAAATATAAAAAACAACAATAAAAAATATAAACAATACATATTTTCAATATTTTTTCTCTGTTGTATTTTTTTTGTGTGTCTACAATTTATGTATTTGAAGAATGTTAATGTACATACCTCTGATGGAGTATTTATTTATTTATGTGTGTGTGTTTGTTCGAACGTGTTCCTCCTTTTCTTATTCTCTTAACATAAAGCAGATGTAATGTTTATTTTTTTTCTACTTCTTTTTATTCCTCATCTTCTCCTTTTTTTCTAAGAAATCTGTCCGATGTGTGTGTGTGTGTGAATGTGTGTTCTGGCCAAATTTCTTCCCCAAGAAAATAACAACCCTTAACTGCTTTGATTGGTTGGTTGGTTGTGTATTTTGAATACATCCAAACGAGATTCGAGAGTCTTGTATTGACATTGAATTGGATTATGTTATTGAAATATGTTGTTTTGTTGTGTTGTTGCAACCGCAAACCGGTTTGAGTTGTTTTGTATTTGAATCAAGGGGCATTGTTTATTAATCGATTTTGTTGCAAGTAAACAAATGCGTTATTTTGAATATAAGCAACAGGCCAGAGAAATATTCATATCCGATTTTTATACCCTCAGCCATGTGGCTACAGAGGGTATATATCATTTGATACGGTCAAAACGTGCCTAGTCGAAATAACCGTTTTAGACCCTAGGTCTCTTTGGACCAAATCCGTTTCAGAACATTTGGAGTCGATCTAGCGATGTCCGTCCGTTCGACTTTCTGGCTGGCTGGTGCGCACGATAACTCTCGAAGGTAGTATCCGATTTGGCCCAAACTTGGTACATCGTAATATTTTTGTCAAACTTAGATCGACTTCGGAGATGGGCAATATCGGTCCACTCCTTCTGGTACCTCCCCCACAAAGGTCGAATTTTTCAAAATATATATTTTTTGCACAGAAAGAAAAAGGACAATCCGATTTTGCTCCAACTTTGCAAATCCTAATATTTGCCTAAGGTTCTTGGTCAGGTGCAAAAATGGATACATTCGGTTCACTCCATCAAGTAGCTCCCCCACAAATGGTCAACATTTTGAATAATAACAACTCTCATAAAATGTGATGTAAGAGTCCGATTATCTTCAAATTTCACACATCCCAATATTTATATTAACCCAAGGTCTGGTGATAAGATGGAATATATCGGCCCACTCCTTCTGGTACCTCCCCCACAAAAGGTTGAAATGTTCAAAATATATATTTTTTTTGCACAGAAAGAGAAAGGACAATTCGATTTTGCTCCAACTTTGCAAATCCTAATATTTGCATCAATGCTAGGTCTGGTGCGAAAATGAACAATATCGGTCCATTCCTTCTGGTACCTCCCCCACAAATGGTCAAAATTTCGAATAATAACAACTCTCATAAAATGTGATGTAAGAATCCAATTGTCTTCACAACAGAAGTCAAGATATTTTAAAATAATCGAACATTGGCTGACGGTATACATCTGTCGGCAAAACCGACCGATACTTTTTTTACTTGTACAAATACGAATTCAAAAAAGGAGGATGCTTGGAAAAAGTTTTTTTCCTAATGTTTTTTTTGAAGATATTCGATGACCCCTTTACAGAGACCATATATGATGGCTTTTACAGATTTTCGAAAGATAGAAACCTAGTTGAGGAAGATATAGAATTTTCATAGTTCTATGTACGTTTTACTGATCCTCTATGGTTGGTAGACATTTGACAGGTCCTTTGGGATATCTGGAAAGCCCCAGGATATCTGGAAAGATGTGCAAAGAAATTGAAGAAATATCTAATTTTGTTTTTAATTCAAAATAAATACCTCTTGAAGGCCTTAGAGGTAAAAGTAGACATAAAATAGCATTGAGTTGAAACATACATACAGGATGAGATAAAAAAAAACTGCAACAAAGTCAAAAGCCATAACTTTTTCATTTTTTTTTTAATTTTATTGAATAAAAACAAAAAATGTCGGAAATAGCATTAAATTTTAGAATAAGTTTAGATTTGTTCGAATTGGTCACCTTTGGCACAAATTATGGTCTTCAAACGGCCACAGGCTGTCCGAATGTTGCTCTGCGGTATTTTGGCCCTTGGTATTTTTTAGTGCTAACCTTGCTTTCCAAAATACTTCAGCCCCAATAGTCCAACGGTTTGGTATCCGGAGATTTTGGTAGCCATTGTACGCTGGAAATGAAGCGAGGAACCTCATTTTGTAACCATTCTTGGGTGGCGCGTGCTGAGTGCGATTGTGCTGAGTCCGGTTGGAATGTCCAAGGTCTGCGGCCAAGGCTTTAATACACCCTGCAGAATATTTTCGGGATAATATTCGGCATTTATTCTGATGCCACGGTCGATTAATACGAGCGCAGAGCAACCATGTGCTGTTATGGTGGCCCACGCTATCATCATGGCCGACGCTTGAGTTATGGTGGCCAACCGAAGGTGCACATTTTCGGCTGAACTCTTTGGCGGCCCACACGATCACCATGGGCGGCGCTTGAGTTCTGGTGGCTAACCGAAGGTGCACATTTTCAGCTGACCTCTTTGGCATGTAAACACGATCATTTTGTTTGTTTACAAACTGCTGGACAACGAATGTTTTCTCATCGGAGCGGAGAAAATCAATTTCGGCAGTTCACCACTTTCGGCAAAGCGAAGCAACTCTTTAGCTCTTTTGAGTCAATTTTCATTCTGTTGCGGTGTAAGTTCTTGCACTTTTTGGAATTTTAATGGCAAGGGCTTTACCCCGAGCTCATTTTTTAATATTTGCCGAATGGAATATTGCGATATGTTCAGCTCACGAGGCTTCGCTACCAGTATCACGGTAACGAGGATGGTACGATACACAAAAGATTTATTCACATTTAAATGCTGAAGTGCTCTAACGATAGCCACTTGCGATTTTCCAGCCAAATATAAAGAAATCACACTATCCCGCTTGAATTCCATCACGAAAAACTTTTTTTTCTGGAATATTCTCACCAAAATGCTTGTGTATGCTTGTAAACAATATAATGATCTGTCACTGGAATAATTTTAACAGCTGTCGGACGAGTGGCTTAGAAATGACAGCAGTTTGGCTGCAGTTTTTTTTCATCTCACTGACAAGATAAAACGATGTATTTTGTACACTAAGTCCGAATTTTTGGTATTTGAAAAAATATAATTTCTTTTATATATTTTATATATAAAATTTTATTTTCATGGATGATCGCTGCTTAAAATCATGTTTTTTGTGACGGTGAAGGGAATTACGACTTTGGGGAGAGAATTTTCTTTAAGTATCGAATATTTTAAGTAAATGGAAATTAAACGCACTTTCAGGTTTTCCACAAAAAAACTACATTTGTTATGACCATGCTTTCAGATTTTAAGGGGTTAATTCGGTGAGAGATTTTTCAATAAAGCAAAACTTATTTATATAAACGTCTGTTCTATTTGCTGATCTTGTATCAAGTGAAGCTATTATTTTTCTCTCTCTCTCTCTAAACTCTCTCACTTTTAAATGATTGTAATTTTTAGACATAAATTAATCAGATGGTTCCTAAAGTCCCTCCGAAGAATTCCATTCATTGACTTAACTTCATATCGCACTCTTTGCAATATTTGCTGATGGCTTCCGAAAGCATGATTTCATTCCAGCGAAGCAGAATATTTTTTTTTAGTAAAATGATCTATTTTTATATCACAAATATCATAAAGTTTTATAATCTAATTAACAAAGTTCCGTAGGCTTAAAAGGTCATATAAAGAATTAGCTCAGAGTAAAGATTTACTCATACATTGATGAGAACGATGAGCTCATTCTTTGGTGGTTTTTATGCGGTTAACTATTGCGACGCTCTTAAAATTTGACAGTGAGTTAGGATTCCTGGTAGATCGTTAATGGTATTAATTTAATTATTTTTAACAGCAGATCTTCTTTGAAATAACAATTTAATGGCAATTTTTTTAAAGCCTAACTCTTTTGCCTTAGTTATCATGGCAATAATTGTAATTCATTCACCGCTTGTTATAATTCCCAAGCAAATAATTCTCATTAACTCTGCGCCGTAGGTAAATTGTATTTAATTGATTAATGCTATGCGCGGAGCGCGTGTGTGTGAAGTAATTGTTTTTTTTTTATGCCAGACATGCCTGAAAGTTATTTTGTTTTAAATTCAAAAAAAAAAAAAAATAATAATAATAATAATATTTCAATTTGTACGTAAATGGCGTAAATTGTACACATATATCGTGCCATTGAATAAATGGCGGGGCTATCATTCCGCTGTCGTCTCTTTTCTGGTGTTCAACTGTTTATAAATGCCGAACACGCAAAAGAAGTTCAAAAAAATAATTGAAGAAGTTGTCGATGTTGTTGTCATTTTGGATGGCAGAGGAGGGGTAGCTACGTATACCATAATTATGTGGAATCCCATACATCAACGTTATGGAGAAATATAAAAAATAATAATGTAAAGGCAGCCGAAAAGGTCTTCGCTTTTGGTCATGCTTTTCCTATTTCGCATTTCTTACCTGAATATTTAAGCTTGATACAATTGTTCGTAATTTTGTATTCAAAAAAAAAAAAAAAAAAAAAAAAAAATTTGAGCGTGTGATTTTTAATTTTCAAACGCAGTACGACAGCGGCTATGATGTCATATTTGCCGGTTTTTTGTTTTGTATTTTTTTTCGGGGCTGTGGTTTCGGTCTTCTATCATTCACACCTATGCGAACAAGACTTATGCGACTTCCGAAAGCTTAGCGTATGTTTTCTTGTTATATTTCTTAACTTTCATTCGGCATTTTTTTCCGTTTCAATACCCAAAAAAGGAATCAAGACTCACAGATAAAAAAGAAAAAAAAAACTTGTTTTGGTATAACCTCCCCAAATGGCCACATT